GATAAGTTACATTTTGATGAAAAAATTATACAAACATACACATAAACAATAATGTTTTTTTCGATTAAATAAAATTTATATGAAAAGAGAGAAAATGAACATTTGACATTCAATTACCTATGAAAAATAAAGTATATTACAGTATATTTTGTTGCAATGAAACACTCTCTTATTCGTAATTTATATGTGTATAAAATAAAAAAAATTATTATTTAGCAAAATGCCAGAGTATAATCTTGATCGAGTAGTTGTAGTTATTTGGTTAAAAAAGACTTCTTATTCCTCAGATCATGTTCTACCTTAAACTCCTCAAATGAAGAGAAATCGCATGTGGAATAATTTATAATGTGTCCTAAGTTCACATTAATAATATTTGTTCTATATCATGTTGATTGAGCAAACTCTATTGAGGTCCTAAGTCGTATGCTAAGAAATTTTCTTTCAGACTTGGGTTTATCATCAACGATTATAAATCAAAATTTTCAAAATGACTTAAGTATAATTGTTGACGAACTTTGACTTCATAACCTAGGATAAGACACAAGATTTCTTGAAAAATAATATAAAGGAAGGTTAGAGAATCTTTGTTGAGAATCTACGATAAACATCGTGTTTCATCAACTACTAACCTAGACATTTACCAAATAAAGGTTGGCAATTTTTAGTAAGATAGTCAATTGGGATAAACATATTTATCCAGCAATCAAGTATTTTTATCCAATAATCTCAACTCTCAAAATTGGTTGCCAGTTCGTCTAAACTCGAGAAACAGGAATTGATATATGTTGTATAGATAATAAGTTAATGCAAATAATCAAATAAAATTCACCGATATTGTTCAAATGATAAGACATTTTAAATGCACTTGAAATATGTGTGTATTGTAGACACTCTTTATCAAATATTAATATATAAGTGATAAAATCTTTGAAAATTACACATTCAACGACCATGTTAAGACCAAAATCCTCGATGGTGTGTGCGAATGTCTTAGATTGAGATTCTAAGCCAACATATAAACAATGACCACGGGTTGAAGTTTCATCTAAACTTCAAAAATTAACAATTGATACATATTGTATAATATACTAAATTTAAGTGTCTTGATAAAAAAACTAACATCCAAAATGGAAATGAGACGAGATTATAGAATTTAATTTAATTATCACGAGAACTACGGTGTGTGTCAAGTTTCAATATGGATGAATAAATTGATCAAATAATGAAGTATCTTTACTAAGAATTTCTCACTAAAAAGTCTTAATCTTTACAACATTGGTCGAGAGTTCGTCCAAACTCGAGGATCATGAATGTGTATTGGATTTCCAAATGACCTAAAATCACAATCCCTTTTGGGGGCTAAATACCTCTAATCACAACCATAGGTGCCAAAGAAGAATGAAAAGAAGCCCAAAAAAAATCAAAAAAGAACATAACCTCCAAGGCCGTGTACCAAAAAGCTGCCACCCAATATAATGTACCAACGCCTGAATTTGAAGGACGTGATATGATGAATAGAATAAAACCATATCGAGCTATGATCATGCCATCCCTACCTTTATTCTCCATAAAGGGGGCGGCGGGAGAGGATAAGAAATAAATAGCAGGATCTCAGGATTTACCTCTTTATATATTACATGTCACACGATAGACAACCCCAATGGTTGTCTGACGTTATGGGGGTAAAAGCGGGATCTCTATCCCAAGGGTGAGGGATAGGCAAGTAGCACTTTTAATATGAGTATTAGGCGAGATAAGATAGGTCTGGCAAAGTATCTGGATAATTTTGAGTCTACTATATATATATATACACACACACATATATATATAATATCAAGGTATACTATCTTTTGATTTTACTCAAGATGCGATAGAAGATAGGTATGACAAAATATTTGCATAAATTAGAGGTTAGAGAATTAGGGATTGGAGTTCACCTATTAGAGGTTAGGGTATAGTATCATGCCCCAAAAAACTCTGGAGTCTAAATAGTAAAACTCAATGGTCTTATGGTAGTGTGAACGCAAGAGTATAGCGTACTCCAGGCGCACGCTAGCTTGAACTATATATATACATATGTGTGTGTGGTTCATGTTGGCATACGCTAAATATTAGTGCTTTGGTTGACAAATTTTGACATAAGTTCTAAATGGGACGTGACAGCGGCATAATTTATGATTAGAAAACCAAAGCATCAGAAGTGAGTGTACTAAATATAGAAATTTCCAATATAGACATACTACAAACTCTTTTATGAATCAAGAACACAAAATATTTAGAAGATCCAAAATTATTTAAACATATAAATAATTTAATTAATATAAATTATGAATAAATCTCTCCAGCCAACGTGCCGGGTAAAAAGCTAGTTAATATTATAGGGATTCAAAAGCAAATTAGTGCCACATCAGCACTTGACTTGCTCTCAACCATCCACGGTGGACAACTTTCAATTCTAATGAGTGCAGTTTTTTGGTTTTGCTTTAAATTATCAGCATTATCAATAAATGTAAATTAATTTAATGACAATGTTATCAGTCTTTCGGTTTGCTTCTATTCCTTTTCCTCGTAACATCTCTCTAAATATAAAATCCAACATTGACATATAATAAAATAAACAAATTGGGTCAATTCCAATAAAAAACAAACAAATTTCTCTCCTTATTGTACAAAATTTTGAGATTTCTAACATTTATCATCTCTATTTTCTTTGCATAAAGATACAATAAAGGATATAATAAGGCATATTGAGTTTTTCTTTGTTTGCTGAAGAATAGAAGGCGAGAGTTAGAGGACAACGATTTGATGGGAAGCAATTGAGTAGTAATTTATTTTTGGGTTGTTGACGAACAAAAACATTCATCTTTCCTTTATCCACAGTTGGTGATTGGTCTCTCTTTTTTCCAAAGATATACGACTACTTGCCTTCATACGACCAAGTTATATCCTTCTGTCATCTGGTATCCCTTCCCATTGTTTTTTTTTTTTAATTTCTTCCGTATCACGGTTTGGGGTCATAAATTGTCCCACTCAATTCAATGATTTGTTGTTTTGTGATTCTCTATTCTGTCTTACACTTTTATGTAAATAAGTAATAGATGGTTTGAAGGTTTAATTGACTTAGAGCATCTCTAATTGGGTTGACAAATTGATGGTTTTCCTTAGAAGCCTATGGCATCCCGATTCCTTAGCTACTGAATTAAAAAGTAGAGTTGTGAGGTTGTCACCTTACCAAACTCCATCGGATAATGTTTTTATGTTTGTTATGTTCACGAGTGGCATTCTATTTGCTAGATATACGTTGATGATCTTATCAATAAATAATTTGTAACAGAGGTTATAAGTAGAAGGGAATGTTTGTACAAATGGTTACCATGGTAATTACCAAACCAAACAAGATAAAATTCTATTAACCATGGAATACAATATCATAACCAAACCGTCCAAAATAAAACAACAACCAAATTAGCCAAACTAAAGTTTAATTGGTTTGGTTAATTGGTTAACCAAATTTCTGATTAATGCATCAATTCACAATTTATATTTCGAATAAAACAATACAATGTATATGAGAAAATATATGTCAATAGTATGGAGTTAATTAATTGTTGTGATTGTGTGAATTGAATTAGTCTCTTAGACTGTCTCCAACCATGGATGCCAAATTTGGAGAAGTGGGGGTGTCGCAACCGCACCTCCGAATCGGGGGACCCGTTGCGAACTGATCGGAGTCGCCATCGGTCTTATTTGTGGTGGATCGAACACCCATTTCCGGTTTTGAATATTTTTGTTAAAACCAGAATTCTGGTCTGCGAATTTTAGATCGTTCTAGGTTCGGGAGTACGGTTACGTGTGGGAAAGTGTATTCACACCACAACGCCCCAAATGGGTACTACTTAAATCGATAAGTTTTTTTTTTTAGATTGGGTGTTTCATTATTCGTAGCTTATTTGCATATTACTGCATTCAATTAAGCATTTTGTTATTACAATTTGAGCATACATCTATTGATGTAAAATCTCAAAAGTGAAGAAAGAGTTTTTTAATTAGTTGGACTCGAACCTATTGGTTGCCTACGTACCCGAGTAACCGGGATCAAAGTCCACGTAGTTCGTTTTTTTGAGCTATTTTGAAGAGGAACCATAATAATGTTTGAGATAATTATGTGAGTTTCTCGAGGTATGTTTGGTAATTGAGTCGTTGATAATTTGAGTGAATTCTAATATATGATAAAAACACACAGTTCTACTAATATGTGATTTCATATTAATGGTTATGTTTGCCAAAATGTAATTAGATGAATCAGTATGACATAACAAAGGAATAAAATAGATTATGCGTGTTGAAAGGAAAGTAGACATATAAGTGATTTTGGTGATTTTGTATTAAGGATATCTAAAAATAAAATTTAGTAAGTTAATTAAATGGTAAGTTATAGCAAGGTGGCCAGAGGTAATTTTTATGAAATTGGGAAGGTAATTAGGTCTTTGGTGGCCTCGTCTCACCTCACTTCCTCTCTCTTGGTTTCTCTTCTTTTCCCCTCTGTACGCACCAAAAAAAAAAAAAAAAAAAGAAAGAGAAGGGCCAGCGCCCTTTCCTTCTCTTGATCTCTTCTCTTCCCTCTTCTGTGCAAGAACTCGTCAACGGGAAGGCGACACCCCTCCGTTGATTTCCCTTCTCCTTTCCTCTGTACTGGCAGTGGAAAGAAGGAAAGAACAGAGGAACGACGACGAAAGTGGCGAGAAAGACGGCGAGTATCGATGCCGGAGATGATGACGACGGCGACGAAGGTGGTCGGAGTCGGAGTAGGTATTCTTGGGTTGCATGTCGGTTTTGGGGGTTGATTTTGTTTCTTTTGGGTTCTGATTATTCTTTTGTTTATGTGAATCCGGCGAAATCCAGAGAAAACGTGGAAGCGAAACTTCGATCGGACAGTAAGTCGCGATTTGGGGCTCGTATGCTCTGTTTTTTGTTTGATTCCAATTTGGGGTTGTTTTAATATTTGGGTTTAATGTTTTGTTTTTCTGGGTTTTCGATGATGGTGAGGGAAAGGAGGAGGTGTGAACGGAAAGGCGAGGAAGGCCGCCGGGCGCCCTGAGTTTCGTCGGCGGCGAGAATGACGACGAAGGTTAAACTTCCTTTTGGTGAGTTTTTTTTTATTTTTGGATTATCTCGTTTGCTTGGTCGACTCTAAATTAACTTCCGTTTTTTGCAGGTTTGAGAACTAGAATAGAATGGCTACTGATTTCAACTATGGTTTGATTTAAATTTAGTGTTGATGATTTGGAGTTTTGATTTAGTCGATTCGATATTTGATTTATGGTCGTGAAAATTTCATTTAGGACTGGGGTGTGGGACTTTGAACCACAAGAAAATACTCAGAATTACGGTTCAAGTTTCAGAATTTTTTAAACCGAACAAAGTGGAAAATGAACTTTTAAAAGACCATAAACACTGCTATTGCTTGTGGTTACTTTGTCTTTCGTTGATTTAGTTTCAAATTTGGGTTTTGAGTTTGTGATGGATGAAATATGGGGTTTGCTATGGTTAGACATGAGCCCTTAAAACCGAGAGAGCTATTCTAAAATAGCTTCATATAATCGAGTCTAATAAGTCTTCGAGTTCGTATTAGCTTATTATTATTAGCCGAATCTACCTTTGCTTATGGCATGAGTTGGATGTTAATTTAGCATTTATATATATGGTGAGTACAATAGACAAAACTGAGAAGAGGGAAACAAAGATAAAATTGCAGATCTAACTCTTGCTTGTAATGAGCTTAAGCATGGAAGTATTAAAATGACAAGATGAATTAGGCGTGGGCAACAGCCTTAGATGGAAAGCAATAAATCTGATGTGTTGGTTACTTTGCTAATATGGTGAAGTATGTCATCTTTTATTTTGCTTGGAGTGGATTCAGTATCATTGCTTTTAAGATTTATTAGAGTCAGATTGTAATTTGACTGTGATTGACTGAGTTTGGTGCCTTTTTAAATCAATTTGGTCATTTGTAGTTTGATTGGTGGTAGATTGAGATTCCTCTTTTATACAAAATCAGTATGCCAGTGTTTGCTTGGAATTGATTGATTTGTTTTTGAGAAAACCTTAGATAACTAGCCTTAGATCCGGTGATGCAAATGATGATGATGGAAAGATGAAAAAAAGATTTAGGATACCCACCTGTTCGTGTAGTTTGGGGGAGGGGATGAAGCTGTTTTCCTCTGTCTTCGCTTGGTTTGACTGCTGGAAACTTATTGCCTCTTGTGGTGGGTCTTTTTGTGTGTAAGAAAAGAAGAAGGATGTTTGCTGTAGAGTTGCCGCCGCTCTCTGGCTGCTGCTGTCTTTTTTCTTTTTTTGTTGTTGATGCTTGGTAACAAGAAGAAAACGTGGTATGGAGTCTTTTCTGTCTTTGACTGCTTTTTCGTTATGATGGTGACGTTTGTACGAGAAAGAAAGGGAGGAGGTAGAAGAAGGTTGCTCTTCTTTTGTATATTCTGTGAGTATTTGTTAGAGCCGAGCCGAAGGGGACAGAGGGAAGTCTATCTGTTCAGTTTTTGAGCTTAGTTTTTTGTCTGTGTGTGTTTAGCAGGGGAAATGGAAGGCGTTGGGGAATGATCAAGAGAAGAAGAAGAAGAAGAAGAAGAAGAAGAAGAAGAAGAAGAAGAAGAAGAGGAGAGGGGGTCTGCTCCATGTCCCTTTCCTGGTTTGTGGGTTTTCTTTTTGTTGTCTTTCTTCCTCTCTCTCTCTTTGTGCAAGAACCGAAGATGAAAAGAGGAAGAGAAGATCTGTTCTTCCCAGTGGAAAAGGAAAGAAGAAGTAGTAGGAAGAGAAGAACCCTCTGTTTTTTTGTTTTCGTCTGTCATAAGAGGTCCATCTCCCCCCTTTGTAAGAGCCATGGGGCTCCCTTTTTATAGGAAAAATGGCTACTTGTGCGCCAAGTTTTGCTACAGTAGTGGTCTGGATTTGGGTCTGACCAGTTTGGGTTTGGTCAGACCTGATTGGGTTGGCTGACTTTGACTTTTGTTGACTAAATTGACCGAAAGTTGACTATGCCTTGATTTATTTTATTGTTGTATTTTGTTTGTAAATTTAATGGAATAGCATTGTGTTTGTGATTTTTATTTATATTTGATTTAATTCGAATTTAGTTTAATAATATGTTTATTTATCTTTTCTTAATTCGAATATTTTTATTGCTTCAAAATCAAAGTACAATCCTCACCCCGTCCAAAATCGTAAGAACCAATTCATCAAAGATCAATTCACAAATTGCCTAATTCGTCAAATCAAAGCAACACAACTCAACTCTTTCACTATCAATTATATTGTTCGAGATTTACTATTGCTTAATTTCGTCAAGTTATGGCAAAAATAAAAAAAACCATCACAAGCACTACAAATATCACAAACACTACATTTAAGATTTGCTACTGCAAACTTTAAACAAAACACTAAAATTATCTAATTAAATATATGTTCTAGCCCGGACAAAAAGTGGTGTCTACAGGGGGTTTTCCCCTTTTTTTGATCTCCAACCCAACAAAAAGTGGGGATGCAAATTTGGAGAATGGGAGTTGGGGTGGATAGATAGCCGGAGAAATAGAAGGGAAGGCAAAAATGCATCCTGCAAGTGGTGGTTTTGATTGGTTGGTTTGGACTTGGAAATGCAAAAAGGTCTATCGCGGGACCCTCCACTTTCCAGCTGCTTTATTCTTTTTTTTTTTTTTCATTTCCTTTCTTAATTTTTGATTGGTTGGTTTTGATTTGGGAAGGTAAATTTAGAAGGTATAGGGTAGGAGCAAATATTGTATTTTGAGAGGCAAAGATGAATGTTTGAGAATTTGGGAAGCTAAATTTAGATTTTGGGTTGAAGTTAGTCTTAGCAATTATAATAAGTTGAAAAAGATTTTTCTTTCAAGTTTTCATCTAATATATTGTATGAGTTATATCTAAATCGGGCGTTTATATATCATAATGTACACTCTATAAATACAAATATACATTAGAGGAACAATATTGAGCTTTATTGGTAATGAGCCTAAAAGGAAGGAATGTTTGGCTCTCGAGTCGTTATGCCAAGTATTAAATATGTGTATATAATATATATTAGATATATGGATAGTTACTTAACTGGTTAATTTGGTTTGATTGGTTAGGAATTTCTGAAACCAAACAAGCTAAAATTTGTAACCATCCCAAACCAATTATCCAGATTAACCAAACCAAATTAGCCAAACACTACCGGTTACCACGGTAACTACACCGTTTGAACACCCCTAGGAATGTATGTGGAGTGATGGTGTCTATTGGCTACTATGTCGATGTTCTTTCAAATTTTACATGTTTTCAATGACCTTTGTTTATTTCCTTAGGGTAGATTTTGGCCTAATTGAATCACTAATTAAATTTTTTTGATTTTGGACTTTGTTTCTTACCAACTAATGTTTAATTGATGCATCAAACTCCGTTCATGAATTAGGACTGTGCAAGATAGAATGTATTGAGTTGTATTGTGCATTATATGTTTATATGGTTATTAGGGGAAAAAGCAACATTCCAAATCCAAGAGGATATGTAGCCCTCTACTAAATATAAATTATATTTATATGTGGTTTACATTACTGAATATTATTTTAATAAATTAGTGACGACTGATATTTTTACATGTGGTTTGTTTCTCTATAACATTTCAAAAATAAATTAAATGAGTAAATAGAATATTGATGATGTCGATGATAATGTGGTTCCTTGCTCTCTCAAAATTACACACAACAAATATTGCAAAATAATAATGAGATTTAGGTCATAATTTTTTGATTATCATGTACCAGTCAACCAGAAGGGAGAGAAAAGTTATTCAATTATTCTTTTTATTAATTATAACTTATTTGCTTATTTTAACATCTTCATTTGTTGACTTTAAATATTTGAACTTCTTTATCATTTTTGCGAGCTAAAAACTAATATCTAATTTTATATATCGCCGAATCCGATAAAAATCAACACGTGATCTAATTATTTCCATTTTTTGTGATTTTGACATTCAATACTTATATAGCGGGTTCGATACAAAATTATATATTAATAAAGAAAGATATATAGAGAAATAAATAAATAATTTCATAATAAATGAAAGATATAAAAATGTGAAACAATAGCTGAAACAAGACAAGTGAGATTAACAATTTCATATATTATAGTATAACATTCATGAACCATTAAAATTTTTGGATATTACAAGTTAAAATAAATAAGAAAATCAAACAAAATACTCCACCCAATGGGCGGATAAAAAACTAGTTACTTAAAACCTTAATGACACCAAACTCCTACAACATCTTCTTCCTCTTCTGTGTGATAGAAAGAGAGGAGATCTATGATAATTGGGAAGCAGAGTACTTTATGAAAAGTGAGAGAGAGAAGTATAAGCACATTGAGAGAGGAATGAGGGACAAATGATTAAACAAATAATAGAGGGATGGAGAAAGGATGTGAGAGAAAGGAAATCAAATAAAAGGGCATTTAAATCAAATTTTGTCCTCCATTTTAATGAAATAAATTGACAAAAGACAGTGTAAAATTACAAAACAATCACTTTGGTGATGTGACTCTAACCCTGTGTTCTTTTAAGGTGGAAAAGGGGTGAGGAAAATAATAGGGAAGAAAGTTGGAGTTTCAATGTATTTTCCTCCATTCTTGAAAAAATAAACAATGTGTATGAAAAGGAAAATGTACAGACAATATACTGTGAAATCCACCCCTCTGATTTGGAAAGAAAATGGGGGGGGGGGTTTAATTCTATATATGTTGGTAATGGTTGGGCATGATTTTGATTAATTTTCTATGTTCTAGTGATTTACTACTTTTTTTGTTTGCGCTTCATCGTTGTAAGAAATTAAATATGTATTAAATCGAGTTAAAATGAACGAGATTTTATATCGTTTAATTTTTTTAATAGTTAACCAAATTAACAAGAAAAAATGAAACGACTTGACAATAATACGAATATAAAAATTTTAAGCGGATACAGATTTGTGTATGTGTAGTGTGATTTGTTGTATGTTTACGTTTTTAGTGTGTATGTTCACAATAAAATAGCGAACAAAATTTTAACAATAGGTTCACAAAAATATTTCAAATCATCTACTTTTAATTTTTAATAGTGAACAAAATTAGTAAGAAACTAAAAAATTCATTCACATAACCAATGAAAATAATATCAACATAAAATCAATTTATTTTACTATTATATACACAATAAAATGACATATCCATCACAATCCCAATATACATTTTCTTTCCCACTTTCCTCCATGAAACACCATTTTCTTTCCAATTTCCTTCACCTCCAAATTGTCCCTCCCCTCCATTTTCCTCCCTCCCTTCGGAAACATATGATAAGAAAAAGTAGCCGACGGCTTTGTGTTTAAAAAAATATTACCCAAAATACCATAGTAAGAAAAATATTTCCAAATCTACCGTCGTAAAAGACTAATTGGGGCGCACACGCCCCAATTGACTTTGATGACAATGAAGAAGATAAATTGAGGCGTGCACGCCTTTATTGGTTTATAGGGAGTCAGAAAGACTAACTGAGGCGAGAAAATTCCAATTGTTATTTTTCTCGCCTCAATTGGTCTTTTTCACGCCCATCGCTTTTAAAAACGACGATCTCTTCTTGTTCCTCCTTCAAACTCTAACCAGGCGCCGAAGAATCGCCGGAAATCCTTTCCTCCATCAATATCCTCCACCCAAGGTTGTCAACCCGCGGGTCGACCCACTTTGACGCTGACAGGGTGGGAAAAACGAGTTGCGCGCACCCGCCGGGTCGACCGCTACAAGGTATTGGGTTGGAGGTCAAATTTTGTCATTTTTTACTTTGGTTTGCGAAATGTGCCTATTTTCCGATTTTTCTTTTCGTCTAACTCAATCTGTGGAATCCTTTTTTTTTTTCCAAGGCAAGCCCAAAGGGCATGGGACAAAGACTCGACACGATTACAAGACCGACTACGGTAGTATGTCGGATGCAATCAGACTACGATGAAAGAGCTTGTTAAGAACTACTTGGGCAGCTCTGAAGAGCTCCGAGGAGCAAATACACGACACTGACGGGGAAAAACAAAAATAAAACCCCAACGTCTCCAAGATACTCCCGCTAGCGAGTGTAGTTTCCTTCGACGAAGTATGCCGGATGACCAGTATCGAGGTACCACAAAAACCACAACAAAGAAAAGAAAAATGCATTAGCAATCTTTGACGGAACATGCTTAATTGATCTCTTAAATTTGATGAAGCGAATAAAATCGAATTATCACCTGATAGATCGATGAAAATTATTGCACGTCCTTCAATTATTTTCATACCATATGAGCACCTGCAAATGACTAATTTATTTTCCTTTTATATTTATGACTGATATGAGTTTAGTAATCTAATTAATTTATTATTTTTGAGAAATAAGCGATAGTGACAAATCTGTGGAATCCTTAGTTGAACATTTATTTACCGACCAAACCGAATTATAATTCGGTTCGAATTCGGTTTGAGGTTTGGGAGAATTCGGAGACCCGGTATTCATAATTTCGGTTCGGTCGAAACCGAACCGACCGAATGCCCACCCCTACTATCAGAGGTAGCTAATCTTCACCTCAGCAGATAATGCAATGTAGCAAATGCCATTAGTCTTATTTTTCACTTTATTATAACTAGAAAATTGACCCGCGCTCTGCGACGGGTTCTTAAAAGAAAATGAATTAACAATCAGAACAATATATCTTAAATTGAGTTAAGCGTCAGTAGTGATATGAAAGGAATCATACATTACCTTGAATTGTATGTACTTAGGATCATAATTAACTTCTTAATTAATTTCATTAGCCTTTAGGAAATTGGATATGATTTTGAAGTAAATAGTTGGATTTACAACCATACAATGTGATCTTTGATTGAATAAATAGTTGGACTGTAGGAATTGATTTATGCCCTATATATCTACAATCATTTCGATGGTTTCTTTCACAATAGTTTTCTCAAAATTGTCTAGTGTTGACATGCACGACACTAACAACATAAGTAACTCCAAATAACCAACATCATTTGAAACTTCTATCCAATTTAGAAAGTGTAGTATGAAGACCTAGCAAAAGTTAATTG